GATAAGCTGTATGCTCATGCAGATAAATGCGGTTTTTGGCGCTGAGAAAATTTCTTTCTATGAATCTTCATCGGGAAGCGTGGCCTTCGAGCAGATACCGCTAAGGTCAATGCCATTGTGGACTGGCCGGTTTCAAAGAAGAAAAGGACTTGCGCAAGTAGCTTGGCCTCGCCAACTACTTGCACGGCTATTGTCGAATTTCTGAAAAAGGATACGGAATGGTGTTGGGACACCGAGAATCGGGGGTCTTTTGGCAGGGTCAAAGAGAGCCTCCTTCATGCACCAATACTGGCGTTGCCAGAACCCGATCGTCTGTGACGATTCGGACTTTGCCATCGGTTGTCAACTTGCTGCAAGCAGACGCCAAGGGGTGGGATCGGGTGATTGTGTTCGAATTTCGCACGCATAAGGCTGCAGAGAAGAACTACCCAGTCCACGACAAGGAATTTTTTGCGATGAAGTATGCGCTTGTCAGATTCAGGGTGCAGTTGCATGGCTTAAATATGTTTTGTGATCTACACAGACGTGCGTCATTACGCGCTGCGACTCAGTCGCCTCACTCCTCGCAGAGGATGGCTATGTGGCTCTCATTCTTTGCAGAATAAAACTTCGAGGTGAAGTATTAGCCGAGAAACCAGAATGCTTTGGCTGATGAATTGTCATACAGACCGAGTTATGAGCTTGCTTATGCCACGACGGTGACGTCGTCAGTGACGGATTTGATCCGCGCCGCATACGTGGGTGATGGTATGTGCGTAGCGCTGCAACAGGCTCTGCTTGAACAAGAAATTGTCGGCACGATTGCGCGTACAATTACACCGATATTCATCGAATGACGGCTTGCTGTATTATAGCACCGATTTGTCGAATACGCTACGAATTGTGGTTTCTCACGATGCGAATTTGAAATATTGTATCCTCTATGTTGCCCACGACACCCCACTCAGTGGTAATCTCGGTCTAGAGAAGAAGTACGGCTCTGTTAGTTGACTCTACTGGTGGCTTAAGATGCACAAATGGATGAGTACATATATGAGACGTGTCAAAGGGTGAAACCCTCTCATAATATGGCGGGGCCGCTGGCCAGTTACCGGTACCCTCCTGGTGTTGGCAGTCCATGAGTATGGACTTGGTATTTGGTCTGCCGAAGAACTCGGCGGGCAACACGGGTGTGGTGGTCTTTGTGGACCGTTTGAGTAAGATGGATCATCTTGCGACAGCGCCGGACATCTTCGACGGTGTAATTACAGCGATGCTGATTGTGGATCGTAACATGGACTCCTGGAGTCAATTATCGCTGTAAAAAACCCGCGCTTTACTGTGAGAATTTGATCTACAATTTCAAAGTGGTGGGCATCAAGTTGACTATGTCAACAGCAGACCGTCCGCAGACCGATGGTCAGACTGAACGCGTGAACCGCGTCGTTGAAGGTGTTCTTTGCAGCGTCAGCGCTGAGACGCCGAAGTGCTGGAGCATGCTTCCACTCGTAGGGTTTGCTCTGAACAATGCAGTTCATTTACTTACCGGCTACACGCCGTTCTACGTGAACGGGCTCGTTAATCCTTGCGCCCTCTGACGGCGCCATCCCATGACTCAGAGCTTGGTGGGGGTGAAATAGCCGAACGGCTAGCTGATATCAGCCCCCTCACTGTCCGTAAAGAAGACGATGATTGTTGTCTACCGGACTGAGTGTCTTACAACACGTTGGCGATGCGATTGCTGAAATCCAAGGCATACAGAAAGAATCTGTAAATGAAGGAAGCAGAAGATATGTTGAAAACATTTAGGTCGGGGCCTGGTTTTATTAATTGCAAAATCCCTTTTCACACATTCAGTCTCTGTTGTCTTTAAAACATAGCTCTATCTCGGTTTAGCGAACCTTTTTAGGTCGTGGCCAAGCGAGGCCTTGCGTATACGCTTAATCTTCCGAGAGGGATGCGCACCCACCCGGTGTTTATGTGGGCTTTCTCAATCCGTACTGTGATCCGGCGCAAGTGAACGCGGAAGCTTGGCACCGTGGCAGCACCCAAAGACGCTCGGCTACCCAGAAGCTAAGCCAGCAACTGGCTTAAGCTTGGAGCGTAGCAATTTCTATTTCCAACGACGCAAGGCGCCCTACCGTCGCACGAAGTGACTTATATGTCTGCTCGACGACTAGGAGCCGCTCCAACAAAGCGCGATGGTTCTCAATGTGAGGCAGTCGGTGAACAAAAAGCTCTAGGCTCCCGAGGTCTACCGCACAGCGGTAGACGACTCGGAGAGATGCTCGGCAGAGTGCCGAAGACGACGGACTTTGTCCTTCAGAGCTTGGGGAGCATCGCGAGTCACCGGACGGCGATCGACCAAGTCGTCATCGTCCGCCGTCGACTCTTCTGATGAGAGTGGTGGCGTCCACTATCAGGAACGCCTTGTGGGTCGACGTCGTCGACAGGGTCAAACCCAATATCTTGTGAAGTGGCGAGGATACCCAAACTCCGATAACTCGTGGGTCGAGGTGCCACTATGTCAAGACTGCCCAGGCGTCATGGACTCTTTTGATCAGAAGGATCACGACGCTTCGCATCGTCGTGCCCTACACTTCTCTGTAGTAGCCCTGATAGCCGAAGTACCATCAGCTGAGCTCAAGATATAGCCTTGAGCTGCTGTGTTCGTAGACGCACCATTGTAAAAATACACAGAGCTCGCGGGAGCGTGATAAAAATTCCATGAGCCGCAGGGTAACCATACGCAGGAAGACGACGTTGTGTCGTGAGTTTAGCAAAATCAAATTCTACGCGCGTATCCACTTCCTTGTAGCCTTGCCGTAAATGAGACAGCGAGGAATGTTTCCGATGCGGCCGCACATCGCTTAAAGAACTATTCATCATCTGCAACGGCGAGTACCACAGGAATAGTCAACATTGCTGGTCCAGGAGCGCCTCCTCTTTGAGCTCGAGGTCGTGCGCGGTACCTACCTATTGGCGAGCTCGAAGAACTTTTCGCTGGTCAAGATCAGCTTTTGTAGTGGCCGGGGCCCAACAACGTAGGCACCTATCGATCGAATGATTGCATCTTTCGCTTCGGTAGCGGGATCTGCCGAGCAGAAGTCATAGTGCACACGAGGGTCTAGGACCAAACGAGGATACGAGCGCATGACAGCTGCCCTGTGGGCAGCCTCCAACCGCTGCTCCTGTGCCTTGTCGAGGCGATTGGTAATAATACCATTCCCCCTTGAAGTCGAGAGGCCGGAAAACGGACACGGTGTCCGCAAGGTTCGAGTAGGGCTCACGTCGCGCCGTTGGCGCACCTCACCCTACTCTTTTTCCCGTCATGGTAAAGGAGTATCCGACTAGTAGTCGACTTCCTCCGAATCCAATCCTCGACGAGGTAATCTGTTGCCCGTGGCGGGCGCCTCGGTCTGTGGCACCCGGTTGCCGAGGGCGTGGGATGTGCTTCCGTAAAACCGCAGACATACTCTCCAGAGATGCACCGCGTGCAGAAGACAAAGATGGGTTCTTCCCGTGTGCGCCCTCGGGACCAGCAAGGCTGGGTGTTTTTCGTGTCACAAACACAGGGCTCATTGAGCAGAGAATGTGTAAATATGGTCCTAGGGACGTAAATGTGTCTTAGACACGTGAGCCTCGTCCGAGGCGACAGCTAGATGTGAATTGTGGGTATTTACAATTTTGATGGGAGAGAGTGTAACGGGGTTACACGTACCCCAGTATGAAAGGTTGGGTCACAAAAAATGGTGTGATCGTCAAAAGTGTGGATTACATAATTCGGTGTAATTACACAGTGGTGTGGGTACATTGTAATAAGAAATCACAAGAAGCCACTTCGTGGCGAGCCTGCCAGTAGTTATGCATATTAATTAGGTTTTACAACTTATTTAGAGAATTTAAGGTTCAGATGTAGGTGGCCCTGGTGCAAATAAAACAGATAAATACAGCCTCAATTTTGAATGGAAGAGCGTATTTGCCTTGGTTAATTTTTTTAGGTATTCTTGGAGGTAGTGGACAGCGATCCGCTGCACTTGTACTGGTTCTGGTATAGAACGTAAGGTCGGTGACCTTAGGAAGCTTACTCTAAGCAACAAACCACGGCAGGCTCGCTGCATATAGTACCCATGGCCTAACAGTAGCATTCCGACGGCGGCACAATGGCGAAAAGCAGTAACCGCTTGCTTTGATTACATTTTGGTAAATCCCCGGGTGCCTCTGACACCGCAGCGAGGTGGCTCCGGTCAATGTGGGGATAAGCTGTTAATTAGTTTGACTTGGCAAACATGAGAACTTGTGGGCACCTACAATTGGATGTCTTGTAATATTATGATCCCCGGATCAATCGCGTGCTGAGGCATGCATCTCTTTGATATAACGGTAATGGTGATAGCAGCTTGACATGCCGAGGCGAATTGTGCGTGCTTTGATAATCTTTGTGACATGGCCAAGAGTAGATTTCCAAAGCAAACCCTGCATGTTTGCTTTGTGAACTCTCGTGTTCCACCGATGTCTGATTAATATTTTCTTGGAGGTATTTCACTAGTGTTTTCGTAGAGCGCCAGACAGGAAATAGCGGCTTTATGCTGAAAAGAACCAATTGTATTTAGTCCACCTAAATACACTATATAATCTAACGTGCCTAGAGCTTTTCAAAGCGAGACCGTGTGAGATATGCGATAAGTCTATCGCCGGCTAATATTGAGCAAACCTATTTGAAAGGTTGCGACAGTCATAGACTCGGCCCTGCTCCAAACTCAGCTAATGTAATCTCCAAGCTAGAAGGTTGTGGACCAAAATGGGCTCCGCATTGCACTTTTTTACTTATGATATGAAATGTCAATTCATCAGAATCTTTTCCCACGCCGTGGCTAATCCTTGATTGACTGCGCGTTTGAGCGACCCGCTTATAGTGAGCGCTAAATGTCGATCAATGAGCATTTTATGATACCGCAGGCCATCATATCGCACAAATACCACGGGTGCCTAAGTAGAAACAATGAGTAAATGCATAGCCCGCATGAACTGCATACCTCTGATACTTTGCGATGGCTAATGTGTCGCAGAGTATTTGCCTTCGTACGCTGGCCGATTTGGACTTGAAGCGCCATCATCAGGTACCGATAAACGATTTTCTTACAGGCTCATCGATCGCATTTTCATATGCACCTGTCACTATCTATAACATTTTTTATCGATTATTGGCAAGGAGCCGTGCTATGTCGACGTAATTTGAATTGATAAGTCAAGCCAAGTCAGCTTCTTTTGGGGTATCGGCTCAGGCCAATCTATAATGGCTTCGACGAAATTCACTCGCACATGCTTCCTAGAATTAAGCGCCAGAATCATGTAGCTGATAGCTCATTAAAGCTCATTCACATAAAGTCAGCTCGCAAGTAGTTGATGTGTATGTCTATAACCGACCCTCGCCGAACTCTGTATGACTTTAGCAAATATCAGCCGACGAAAAGAGTATGTAATAGACGGACCTTAATATATGCGCTATCATAGAAGTTGCGAGCGTGTTAGACGCAGCGATGACGGAGATGCCATTTTTTCATGAGTAGCTGACAGTATTAACTACATCAAGAGTGCTGTTAATCGTGCAGCCAGACATTCTAATATCAGCACAATCCTTTGTCAACTCGGCATATACATCGAAATGTGGCTGTATAATGCATACAAGATTCGCCAGTTTGACACAACAAGCTTTTTATTTTGCCAAACTTGCTTGTGCATAAACGCGTATAGGCTCACTTGAAAATGACCATTGGTCTGTGTCACAATATATTTTGTGAAGGACCAGGTCAACTACATAAAGCAGCCTTAACACTTGGCGGGCGTTTTGTCACTGCGTCAACATTTTTCTTCAACAAAAAAGTCACTAAAATCTGTGAGTGAAGCTGTTGCAATCCACGTACTTATTGCTCTGTGTGTGTCATCAATAAACAACTGGTATATGACGAATAATGAGCTCGGCTTCTTCTTCGGTGCATACCCAGCCAGCTTATTTAGTTCGCCGTTTGCTTGCATATATTCTTCATAAATAACTCTCTAGGTTTTAAGAGACCATCTGTCTGGGATAATGAAGGGGTTTTATACTCTACATATGTATTTGATCCCGGTCTAGTTCAGACTTTTAATATAAGCGCTAAACCACGGGAAATAATTACATGACCTCGCTAACAAGTACCAAACATATCCCATATTCTATGTGGGGCTTTTTCTAGCCGCATTACGATTTTGTTATTAACAGCAACCCGACCCGGGCTTCACTTCTAAATAAGCTATAAAAAGACATACATAAACAGTCATTTCGATTGGTCTAATGTACCAATCGGTATGATTGTACAGTTCTAAGAGGAAGCCGGAAAGGTGACCGCATCTTCAGGAGATGCTTATTGAAAATCTTGATGAGAAACATTGCGTCCCGCCAATTGTGAAAGACCATAGACGCTAGGTACACGAAGAGTGTCCTTCGTCGTTACTGCTACTGCTTGGTGATCAAAAGAAAAGTCACGCAAACAAATACTTTATTATCGGTTCCGCGGAAAAGCAGCATCTAGTATATCGCTATTCTTGCCTTGATAGCCTTTGGAAAATAGAGGCTCTACATGGGCAAGATGGTACCGCCATGATTGACGGTTATGGCCTGGCATACCTTTCACCTTGGCATCCCTGAAGTACGAGCCAAAGTCAGGTAGCGCAATGCGCTTTCCATTTGCAAGTTCATAAATTGGCCGGAAGCTGTATCTGTAGGCTCCAGCGTACGAGAAAATCTGTTGTCCGCGTAAACAAGAAGTAAAAAGGAGTGTTTGTCTCAACGTCGACTTCGCGCTGTGTACTTCGTAATGTCGGGCTGTTATTATCCTGACAAATGTTCCTTTCTTGTCAACGTTCAGGTTGAGCTGGAAAAAAGCATTTGCAGTGACACCGATCGTAGCGGGGATCGTATCATCTTTCTCTTCGGACAATGTATGCGGTACATGCGGACTATCAAAAGGTGAACGAGTAAGCGGGGATATTGACGCTTCGGTTAGGCTATAATGGGAGATAGACGGCAGAAAGTGCAGCCCTGGGAGGAGGCCAAATAGCTGATTAGGAGATTGTGGTCGATTGAACCACTATTAGCGCAGAAAACCTCGTCTTTTCACCCAAAAAGGCCCTCATAATCTTAGCTATAGGTATCTTGTCCTTCATCGCGGCTTCAAATTTCATGCTGAAGCAACTAGTTTTGAGAGATGTTCCAGTGTAAAGCATACCCATAGAGCTCATATTGAGTTGAGTTTATTGCAAGCCTTGAGACAGGTCTTTTCAACGAGGATGGTTGTGATCCCAACCACATTGCATCCATGATGCGCTAATTCCCACTGATGTATCTACTGAAGGTCTTTAGACAAGAAAATATTTGTGGTAAATGGTGGTATGCGGACAGGAAGGGTTGTGACAAGTTACCTAACGAGGATGATTTTTGATACAGATGAGCCGCAACTAGAGTAATTTATGACAGGGATAGCTTCTGATCTCAACGACATTTACGTCTTGTTGGGGTATGGTGAATGGAGTAACAGAGTACATACCCGACTAATCAAATACATTCCCGTGTTGACTAACTCCTTCAGAATTGTGTCAAATTTAACAGCACCGCGACGATGTTATATGGCAAAGTACATTAAGCGTGTACCAGCTATGATATTAGACTTATAATTATCCTGAAGTAGAGTTCAGGAGACTTGTGGACTGGCACCATAATTGAGTCACGCATATAACTTATTCTGGTGTACGTATGAGCACACTGTAGTCACGCGAGACTAAACCATCATTATGAAGTAATTGGCGGAGGACGCTGACAAAGTATCGCGTCATGCATTGTAAACTGGTCTATCACGATAGATAACAGGAACAAATTGATTCGGTACCCTTTAATCTAATCTTAATCTACGTAATAAACCTCTGGAATTTGGAGCAACAACGTGCTTGTTACTCTGTTGGCTCGCTATTCGGCAGCTGGGTGATTGACCGTGGGTTCATCTGCCGTGTGTAAGTTTGCGAAGACTCTAAGTGATAAGAAATTTTCTGTCGATGCACATGATAAAGCCATTGCATACTATAGCACTTGTCGCCAATCCGACGAAAAAAGAGTCTAGGTAAGACTTTAAATCTTCTGGTGGACGAATCATGCTTTGTTCATCGACAAGTCTTCGAGATTACATAACATGCAAAACAAGCTTCTGTTTTCAATAGGTTTTCAGGGAATAGCGCAATCGGCGGTCCATGACCCATATCATCAAACCCTCGCTTGGTGGGGTTCACCCGCTTTGAAATTTGCTGATAACTAACCACAAGGATAATCGCAATCCAATATCTGTAGGAAGGCAAGCGTTTCTACAGGAATCAACAGAGCGAAACGGCTTTTGCTCGGCGTCGAGATCTTTCACTGCATCGTTGAGAGCAAACTCGACGAGCGGCAACATAGCGCTCCAGCGTCTCGGCATCTCAGCGCATACGCTGCGAAGAACGTCTTCGACGACAAAATTCACGCGCATAGTCTGATAATCGGTCTGCGGACGGTCCGCTGTTGACATAGCCAACTTCCCAGCACCCTGAAAATTGTAGACCGAATTCTTCCGGTGAAGTGTGGATCTTTATCATAGACGATTGACTCCGGGAGGCCATGTTGTCGAGCGACACGATCCACAAACAGCGTTGCTGTATACACCATCGATAGTGTCCAGCACTATCGCAAGATGAGTCATCTTGCTCAAACGGTCCACAAAGACCACCACACCCGTGTTGCCCGCCGAGTTCTTCGGAAGGCTAGACACAAAGACCTAATTATGGAATGCCAACACTCGAAAATTACCGGTAAACTTGTTAGTGGTGCCACCGCATTCTGAGAGGGCTTCACCCTTTGAGACAACTCACATATGTGCTCGTCCGTTTGTACATCTTGGGTTACAAGTAGTGGCAACTCACAGAGCTGTGCGTCTTCTCACGACCAAGATGACCACTGAGTGGGGTGTCTTGGGCATCATAGAGAATACACTATTTCAAATCCTCATCGTGAGGAGCCTGAATTCGTGGCGTATCCGTCAAAAACGGTGCTATGATACAGCAACCCATTATTCGATGAATGTCGGTGTAATTGTGCGCGCAATCGCGACGACAATTTTTTGTTCGACTTTCCAAACTCCTTGCTCCCGGGAGCCTGTAGCAGCGCTACGCACATACCATCATCACCTACGTATGCTGCGCGGATCAAATCCGTCACTTACGATATCGCCGTCGTGACACGAGCAAGCTCATATTCTAGTCCAATGACAATGCATCAGCCAAAGCATTCTGCTTCCTGGCTTATACTTCACCTCGAAGTCTTATTCTGCAAAGAATGAGAGACACCTGGCCATCTTTTGCAAGGGTGAGACGACTGAGTCGCAGCGCGTGATGACGCCTAATCTGTGTAGATCACAAACGGCTTTGAGCTTAGCAGGTGCACCTTGAACTTGACCAGAGTATATTTTATCGCAAATAATTCCTAGTTGTGGACTCGGTAGTTCTTCTCCGTAGCCTTATGCTGGCGAGATTCGAACATGATCACCCAATAATGGTGTACGAAGGAGGCTGTCTTTGACGCTGTCAAAAGCCTCCCGATGCTCGGTGTCCCAACACTATTCCGCATCCTTCTTAAGGAAATTCGACAATGGCCGTGCCATTTCCGCATAATTCGCGCTGTACTTGTGCACCTTAATCAAGGTCAAGCCACTTGTGCAAGTCCTTTTGGTTCCTTGGAACCGGCCAGTCCGCAGAGGCCTTGACCTTAGCGGGGTCCGCTCGAAGACCACACTTCCAATTGAAGCAGAAGTAAATTTCTTCCGAGCCGAAGCACTTATCGTCATTAGCATACATTTTATTCGTGCGCATGCACTCGAGCACCGGTCTCAAATGGACGATGTGGAATTCCTTATCTGTCCTCCCGTGCCCCGCACGATCGAGGACGAAGATGTCATCGAAGTATGTTTGTGCATACGCCCTGTGGGGCCTGAACAATTGAGTCACAAGGCGAGTAAATGTTATTGGTGCGTTTGACAGCACTTGGGGCGTCACCAGCCACCCCCAGATCATCACCTCAGAGTACTTACCGCTGTCAGCGGAATATCACTCGCTCTCATGAGCAATTGGTAATATTCGTCGACAAAAGTCGAGTGCGCTGTACTCTGTACAGCCAGCCATATTGCCCGGGAGAATATTTCTCCTAGGAATCGGCGTTTGTGTCGAAATGGTGGTAGCGATTAGCTTATTGTAAGTGTGAACGATACGCCACTTGCCGTTCGGCTTCCGGACACGAACGTGGGTGTCGAATGGGGAGACTTGCTCTCGCGCACCATTCCTGCGTCGTGCTTTTCTTGAAAATAGGCGTCAATGACGTCACACTGTTTCTTGGGCAGGGGCCATCCGCGTACTACGCAGTATTTGATTCCCGGAACCAGGTCGATCTCATGATACTCTCCTCGGTCCGAAGGCAGGACCGACGGCGGGGACATCTTGAAGTATTTTAAATTAAAGCATAGTACGGATCCGAGGGATTCTTTAGGATCAGCACCCTCTTGGTGTTCTCCAGGACAGATTCATCCAGAAGCGACGATGAGTTAATCTCCTCTTCCGGTCGTTTAATGACCAATTCGGCAAAATCGCCTGCCTTCATGGCACCCAAAACTCTTCGAAGGACATCTCGTCCGGACCCATAAAGACCACCCACCGCGGGAAAAGATTCGAGGGTGACGTCTTCGTCTTTCTCTCTCGTCATACTGTATAGCTGTGCGCTATCGTAAAGACGGTAGACACACCCTAAGCCAGGGTCGACGCCCTGCGTCTTGCTGATAACATACGGCATCGCCGTCTTCTCTCTTTACGGCTTAACCTCTCGGCGAGACCACGCACTCAGCGTCGTCCAGTGTCCCCACTTCCTGTCCCTTCCTGTCCCATCGGAGCCTTGATGTTATTAACAACATCCGATGAAAATCTGCTTTTTCCGCAATCTTCGTCCATGCCACTTCACGTGCATCAGAAGGGCCTTGTCCGGAATGCCTCAAACCTCGTCCGACCATGCCACTCTTGGCATGTAGCAATTGCTTCAAAATGTGAGCAGTGCGAAGTGGATTACGTGCCACTCCACGGGCATCACCAGGGCCTCGCCCTTCGCCCTCGACGCCTCGGACCTCGTCCGACCATGCCACTTTTGGCATGCAGCGACTGCTTCAATACTTGAGCAGCGCTCAGTGGGATACGTGCCACTCCACGTGCATCACTGGGGCCTTGCTCTCGACGCCTCGGCCCTTGATGTGACGGGGCACACGGCACCTTGCACAGAGGAAGCTTGACTTCCAAGAGTATAC